TTTTTTCTTTCGTGTAATTCAATGTTTATATGAAAGTAGCTGTTTCAGGAGGACTTTCTTTCAGTTTGTGTCTGAGAGTTACTTCTTTGCATGATCTACACATCCATGTACAGAGTTACTTATTTTCAAATTGATTACTTCCTTCCTTTCTTTGGAAGATTCCCTCATCCTTTTTTGTATCAGGATGGAGTAGTAGAAAGCCAAAAACTTTCTTTTCCACGAATTAATCACTCCTAAAAATATAACCCTTTCAATTCAAAGAAACATACATGTTTTGCTATGTGAAAACCATTCAATAACCGAAAAAATTAGCAAAAAAATAAACAAAAATTCAAACGGCTCAATTCTAAATGAATAATACTGGAGTTTTAACTCAACACCAGACTGTTTCGATCACCAAGTGACCATCTTCGTGAAACAGGAGCATTGAAGCGAAATGGAGGACGAGAAAGACCAATGACAGTAAGAACGGTAGAAGTAGAAGAGAATGTGCTGCCTATGATAGAAGAAGATCCAGGTAACTCCACTCGAAAAACTTTAAAAACTTTATATGTAAGTAACGGGACGACTTGTAACATTCTTAAAGACTATTTGTTGTACCCATACCCCATACGAGTTCAGGCACTTGTTCCTGCAGATTTTCTTCCACATATTGCAACCACTGAAGCTCATTCTTTTTACCGATGAAGCCAGTTTCTCAAGAAATACTTACTATAAGGAGTTTCCACAGTGATCATGTTTGGACTGATAAAAATCCACTGATAAGAATCCACGTGAAGATCGCTTTCAACATCAGTTATCGTTAAACGTTTCGGTAGGAATTGTAGGTGACTTCTTATTTGGACCGGTATTTCTCCCAGGAAGACTTACCACCGGCGAGGTATACTGCAACTTTTTGGAACAAACGCTAGCTCAGTTTCTGGAGGATGTACCATTGGTTACAAGAAATGCAATGTGGTTTATGCACGAAGGTGCACCAGCGCATTTTAGCATATTGGCTCGAGAGTTTTTAACAGTAACATACGGACCCCCTGAATTATTTCCTATGGGGTCACCTTGAGACTTTTGTTTGTACTACTCCAGTGGAAGATGTGGAAGATTTGCGAGATCGGATAATTCCTGGGTGTAACGCAATCAGAAACGATCCTGGTGTTTTTAAAAGAGTCGATGAGGAGAAGATTGGATTCTTGCTTTCAAGTGGGGGGTAGTCATTTCCAACAGTTCTTGTAGATTAAGGAACAATACTTGTAATTATTGGTAATAAATTGTTATTGTCGAAATTTTTTCGCTCCGAATTTTTTTAAACAAAGCGCCCTATCGAAAATCATCAGAGGACAAAATATCCTTA